CTATCCCTAAACCATGCTTGTTTTTTTTTTTTTAATATTCTCTCCAAACACCATAGATAACAAGATGAGGGAGGGATGAAAATAGGGTGGATGACATGGGAATCTAGGCTGTGTACTTATGCAATTTACTTATAGTATTTACGTCTAGTCCTGCTCAGGTTCAGTCCTTAACATACCATTTCTATCTTACAGTGAGCTATTACTGGATCTACCCAATTAGATGATGACTTTATGGATTGTCAAAATGAGCATATACCCATTGGGGATCTTCTTGAACCCTACTTATCAATCTGGCAGCCAGGAAAAAAGATGGGGACAGCTCTTGAAGGGGCATTTGTTGACTTGCAGGGAAGAGGCCTTTGCAGGTTATTCCTGTATCAAGGAGCCGAAAGTGAGCTCCCTCTGAAGACTTGGGGGTTCAGATAAAATCTTCAGAGGAATCCACACAGGTATTCCCTTTTGAAGCTTCATCAACTCAGGTTTTCTCAACCAGGGCCCTAAACACAGCATAACAGACATGCCTAGCCTGAGTATTTGATAGTATTTATAGCTCAATGATCTTAATAATACCCTGTGTCTGTTCCTCAGTTGCTCCTAACTCACTGAGAGAGCTAAGGGCCTCTTTGTAAGTTAGAGTGGAGGTTCTCTGACTCACACCTTTAGCCACATCTTGTTTATCATCATCCTGCTTCAGGGTATCAGTGTAACTTCCATTCCATTACCGTTGTATGTATTGTTCTTCGTGAACTTTTCAAAGACCTTGTTCATTACAGTGGACAAGGCATTCCCTTCCATCTTTGTACCACTACCATCTTCCCCTGTTGTTTTCCAAGAAGCTGAGGCAGTTCCTGATGGCACTTACAGTAGGAAGCAATCAGATGGGAATCCACCTTATATGAGTTTCTCTCTTGAAAGGAGATACGAGCAACTTTGCCCATGACTGCAATAGTTTATAAACTATATATTATGTGCTTCCTATAATGATAAATTTATATGATAAAATAGCATGAGAATATGTTTATTCAACATTTAATAAATTTTTCCTTAAGAACCCCACTATGTGAAAATTGTTTAATATATGATCTCTATACTCAATTTATCCTCAAAATGGAATTTGTGATATATGAGTAGCTATACTTAGTGATAAGTATAAGCTCATAATAAATTTCTTAGGAAACAAGCAAATCCCATGTTTAGAGATTGGTAAAGTTAGAAGTCAGTGCACTTGAAGAGAACAGTAAGAAGGCAGGATAGAGGTTCCATTTAGGCTTGAAATTCAAATGACAGCAAAGTTGGGAAACATTCCATAGAGGAGAAAAATGATGAGGAAATTAAGTGCAGATGAAGGAAAGTACAGGGTGCTTTCAGGGAAGGAGAGTAAGCACTTTAACTGGGTGCAGCATACACAGTACAAAAGGGAGTGCTGCACGTGTCTGGGCTGTGGCAGATCGTAGAGGGCCGTAAGTCTTGAGTGAACACTAACCCAGGGCAGCTGTGGAGCTGCAGTTTTGGCCTAGGCAGCTGGCCTAGGTAGTCACTGAAATTTCCTGATTTCATTAAGGTTTACCAACACTTCATCAGCATAGAATCCATGGAGGCATAATGTCCTTTGCTGCTTGTTTTGTTGAAGAACTTGCTAACATTTTGTAGGTGAGTGGATAATAAAACAAACAGAATAAGTTTACCTTCCTAAAAAGAACCTCATCCTTTATATAAGCCCTCTCCCTTCATGAATAAGGACACAATAGACTTCATAATTGGTTCCTTCCTGTAAGTTTTGTCGTCATTGATGAAGTGTTAAACAAATTCAACATAATGGGAAAGAAAAGGCAAAGGTAAATTTCAGAGATATTAAGAACGCATAAATGACAAGTATTTGCATATAATGGGATATATGAAATTAAGGAGAGAGTGCAGTTAAAGACGAAGAGTTTGGTGAAAAAAAATAAACAGAGATAATGAACAACTGAGTGAAACAATGCCACAAATGCAATCCAGCACTAAAGCCTAGTGATTTAAGTTTGGTGAAATAAAAATATACTGTGATTGTATTAAATTACTGTTTGCTTTCTGAAAAATATTAGTCTTTTCAGCAAAGGTTAATGGAAAATCTATTTAAAAAATCAAATGCTCATCAAGTAAGAGTTCATGAGTACAGTATATAATCCAACTTAATGTGTCCACTATTTTTCAAAGATACTAGGAGCTAATGAGAATCCCTTAGCTTAAAATGAGATTACTTCTATTGAATGATTCTGGAAGTAAGGATTTGTTAGAATAAGTATAAGTTAATGCTCCATGTTTAATTATTATCTCATAATATTCCATTTATTATGATATTAATAACATGAAACTATATGCAGGTTATCTTCACATGTACATGTACCTACTTCAGGTCAATTTGAAATTAATATCAAGTATTGAATATTTTTGAAGTTTAAATGTGAATTATGTTTGACATTGTGGCCAGTTACAGCAACAATAAAAATTTCCCTTAAAAATACCAATACCAAAATTAATCATTTATATGTCTTCAGTTTCTTAGGAAGCAAGATGTTAGTAGGCTCTAATAAAAACACATCTTGACTTTATCTAAAAAGTGGATATAGATGCTTTCTGTTGCACCTTCCCCTCACATGTATTACCTAAGTGCTTTAATAAGAATTTTCAGCTTGGATTTTACTTGGTTAGCTATACAAATGTTGAAAATTTCATACTTAATGAAAATAATTTGTTATAAAACCCACTTATTCACATGTATCTACTGACTTAGTGTATTTCAGAATTATACTTATTTTTAAGTTTGTACCTTTTGACCACTCTCACCCATTTGGCCCACCCCACACCCCTACCTCTGGCAATGACCAATGTATTCGTTACATCCATGAATTCAGTTTTTTAGGTTCCACATTAAAGTGAGATCATATGGTATTTGTCTTTCACTGACTTATTTCACTTAGTATTATAAATACCCTTAAGTTCCATCCAAATTGTCACAAATGGCAAGATTTCCCTTTTTATGGAAGGATAAAGTCCAGTATATATATGCATATATACACATATAGTTGACCCTTGAGCAATGTAGGTTTGAACTATGAACTGCAAGGGTCAACTTATATGCAGATTTTTTTCAATAAATATGTACTACAGTACTAAACAATTGGTGGTTGGTTGAATCTGAGGATGTGGAACTACAGATAGGGAGTCCTGACTATAAAGATATACTCAGATTTTTGACTGTATGAAGGGTCAGCACCCTTAACCCCAGTGTTGTTCAAGGGTCATCTATCTATCTATATAACATAAAATCACATTTTCTTCATCTATCCACAGACATGTAAGTTGCTTCCGTGTCTTGGCTATTGTAAATATTGCTGCAGTGAAAAGAGTGTTCAGATATCTTTTGGAGTTAGTATTTTGTATCCTTTGCATAAGTAGCACAAAATTTTTTGAGGAACCTCCATATTTTCAATAGTGACTGCACCCATTTAAATTCTCAACAACAACAGTGAACTAAGTTTCCCCTTTCTCCCCAATACTTTGTTGTTGTTTCTTATCTTTATAACAGACATTCTAACAGGTGTGAGGGGATGTCTCATTGTGGTTTTGATTTGCATTTCTCTGATAGTGATGTTGAGCACCATTTCATGTACCCTTTGGCCATCTGTATGTCTTCTTTGGAAAAATGTCTATTCAGATCCTCTGCCCCTTTTAAAAATAGCATGTTTAGTACTCTATTATTGACTTGTATTAGTTCTTTATTTATCTTGGATGTTAACCCCTTTTCAGGTATAAATGGAAAATGTTTTCTCCAGTTTGGTGAGTTGCTTTTTTTTTTTTTAAATTTTTTTTTAATTGAAGTATAGTTGGTTTACAGTGTTGTGTTAATTTCTGGTGTACAGAATTAGTGATTCAGTTATATATATATATTCCTTTTTGTATTCTTTTTCACTAAAAGATACTGAATATAGTTCCCTGTGTTATACCACAGGACCTTGTTGTGTACCTATTTTGTTTACAGTAGATAGTATCTGCAAATCCCATACTCCCAATTTATTGCTCCACCATACCCTTCCCCCCGGTAAACATAAATTTGTTTTCTATGCCTGTGAATCTTTTTCTGTTTTGTAAGTAAGTTCATGGTGTCATTTTGTAAGATTCCACATATAAGTAATATATGGCATTTTTCTTTCTCTTTCTGGCTTACTTCACTTAGAATGACAATCTCCAGGTCCATCCATGTTGTAGCAAATGGCATTATTTCATTCTTTTTTATGGCTGAGTAGTATTCCATCATATAAATATACCACGACTTCTTTATCCATTCATCTGTCGATGGACATTTAGGTTGTTTCCATGTCTTGGCTATTGTAAATAGTGCTAGTATGAACATTGAGGTGCATGTATCTTTTTGAATTAGAGTTTCTTCTGGATATACATGGATATACTAGGATCCCACTCTGGGCATAAGTCTATTTTCAGTTTTTTAAGGAATCACTATACTGTTTTCCATAATGTCTGCACCAAACCACATTCCCACCAGCAGTGTAGGAGGGTTTCCTTTTCTCATACCCTCTCCAGCACATATTGTTTGTGGACTTTTTAATGATGGCCATTCTGACCAGTGTGACTTGATACCTCATTATAATCTTGTTTTGCATTTCTCTGATAATTCATGATATTGAACATTTTTTCATGTGCTATTGGCCATTTGTATGTCTTCATTGGAGAATTGCTTGTTTAGGTATTCTGCTCATGTTTGGGTTGGGTTGTTGTTTTGATTATTGAGTTGTATGAGCTGTTTGTATATTCTGGAAAGTAAGCCCTTGTCAATCACATTGTTTGCAAATATTTTCTCTCGTTCTGTAGGTTGTCTTTTCATTTTGTTTCTAGTTGCTTTGCTGTGCAGAAGTTTATAAGGTCTCATTTGTTTATTTTGGCTTTTATTTTTATTGCCTTGGTAGCCTGCACTAGGAGAACATTGCTAAAATTTATGTCAGAAAAATATGGACTGCTTCATGGATTTGCGTGTCATCCTTGTGCAGAGGCCGTGCTAAGTTTCTCTGTATTGTTCCAGTTTTAGTGTATGTGCTTCCAAAGTGAGCACAGTGTATTCCCTTTTAATTTTTGTGATGGTTTCCTTTGCTATGCAGAAGGTTTTTAGTTTTATGCAGTCCCACCTATTTATTTTTGTTGCCTTTGTTTCTGGAGTCATTGCCAAAAATTCCTCACCAAGACTGATGTCAAGGAGTTTACTGCCTATGTTTTCTTCTAGGAGTTTTGTGGTTTTAGGTCTTATTTTTAAGTCTTTATTCATTTTGAGTTAATTTTTGTGTAGAGTGTAAGATAGTGGTCCAGTTTTATTCTTTTGTATTTGGCTGTCAAGTTTTTCCAACACCATTTACTGAAGAGATTGTTCTTTTCCCGTTGTATATATTGGTTCTTTTGTCATAAATTAACCACATATGCATGGATTTATTTCTGGGCTCTCAATTCTGATCTGTCAATCAGTGTGTCTATTTTTAATGCTGACACAAAGCTGTTTTAATGGCAATAGCTTTGTAATATAGTTTGAATTATGGAAATATGATGCCTCCAACTTTGTTCTTTTTTCTTAAAATTGCTTTGGTTATTTGGGGTCTTGTGTGGTTCCATACAAATTATAGAATTATTTTCTCTATTACTGTGAAAAATATTATTGGACATTTGGTAGGGGTTGCATTGAATCAATGGATGGCTTTGGGTAGTATGGACATTTTAACAATATTAATTCTTTTGATTTATGAGCATGGAATATCTAATTATTTGTGTCTTCAATTTATTTCATCAGTGTTTTATGGTTTTCAGCATACAGTTATTTCACTTCCTTGGTTAAATTTATACCTGAGCATTTTATTTTTTTTATTTTTAATTTTTTTTAACATTTTTTATTGATCTATAATCATTTTACAATGTTGTGTCAAATTCCAGTGTTCAGTACAATCCTTCAGTCATTCATGGACATATACACACTCATTGTCACATTTTTTTCTCTGTGATTTATCATAATATTTTGTGTATATTTCCCTGTGCTATACAGTGTAATCTTGTTTATCTATTCTACAACTTTGAAATCCCAGTCAATCCCTTCCCACCCTCTACCCCCCTGGTAACCACAAGTCTGTATTCTCAGTCCATGAGTCTATTTCTGTCCTGTATTTATGCTTTGTTTTTGTTCTTGTTTTTTAGATTCCACATATGAGCGATCTCATATGGTATTTTTCTTTCTCTTTCTGGCTTACTTCACTTAGAATGACATTTT